TGTGATTTACGTTACACAATGAGAGGCAGCAACTGAAGAGCCTTCTCTCGAAATGATATGGATCCAATGAATCATTTTATTGTTATTGCTATTTCAGACATTATTTTACTGGCTGCTTACTTATCCCTACTATAACCAAAGCGGAGTTTGAAGGATAGCTTCTTGAAAACGAAATAGAATCAAATGGCAAGCGCATCAAGCCTAAAAGGGTCATACCAGATCAGTACAAGCTCGTCTAACGAGTATGAGAAAACAGAGTATCACGCCTTTATTCGATAGATCAGCGACCCAACCCCAATCAGAGACACGGTTTTCCTTATTTACGATAGCCCATACGCAGCGCCGAATATACATCCATATTCGAGTCTATAGTACATGATTTGAGTCCCATTTGGCGGTGGAGGATGTTGAGTTAGTAAAAGCACGTGATGAGTGCATCGTACTAAAAGGAAACGTGACGTCAAAAAGGTTCGTAAGAAAGCGGAAACTTAAATCTCATTTTAAAAAAAATGGACGGACAGACGGCTGAAGACTAGAGTATAAGAGACGCGCTCCTGTCTTTTGTGAACTCACTGAAAAAACTCCTCCTTGTCCATTTTCAGACCATGAAGCGTGTCCGTGTGTTCCCTTTCCTGTCGCGAATCAGAAAGATCGCGCAGAGCAGTCATGAAGCTGCTCAGGCGTGGATCAGTAAATGCAATGCCGGCCTTCGAGATCATCTAAGGGACACGGTCACAAAATGAGAAGAAATAAGACAAGTTGTTGGGTTGCATTAGTGAGTACACAGGCAAGTATTGTCATCACGATAGGTCATCTCTGATCGACTGGGAGCCAATGAGATAAGCTCATTACTTAACTTCAAGTTCACGTTCCAACTTTGGGGAAGGAGATCAGTGATCACTCCTTGATTAGCGTTCACTGATTGCTAACGGCACTTGCTGGTTTCGCTCAACCTTAGGACTCAATCTCACAGCAGCTAGTAGTCCAGGCAGTTGGCAGTCGTAGCTCAATTATTAGAGAGTAAAGGTGATTGATTAGAGCATTAAACTTCTGACCAAAAGGTCGCGAATTCGAGCCTTGGGTGATGCACTAGCTGGGGTCGGGTATGGCTAGCTGATGATGGCTAGTGAGTCAGAAATGGCTATTCCAGTCTCCCTTGCCTTTGTCGACAATGCGAACTGGCTAGTGTTCAGGCCATCGAGCCACTGGGGTAAGAATTAAATAATTCTAAGTTAGCGGTATCGGGCTTAATTTTGAAGGGAGGCTGCTGGCTGTAAGGATTCGGTTTCGTCCATGGCAAGATTTGTGACTGTGTGACATTCAGGAGGCTAGGTTTGCCTCCTAATTGTTTCTTTTGGTGAAGTTTTGAACCGCAACAAACGTGTATATGGCGATTTCCTGTTCTAGGACACTGTTTCCCAAATGCAATTGAACGAGGTGGGTGTAGAGAAATCGCTACAATTGCACAGTGCACGGCCAGTTACGATGCTTTTGCGCTGGAGTTAAGTTTCAACTCAAAATTTTCAAATGTACCTAGAAACCACATGTTTGTTTTGTTAAACTGAGAGTCAGCGGACAACCATATCCATGCAAAATGACAAATAGACAAATGGGAAAACCAAACTTGTCAACATGTTTAGTCTCATTCCTCAAGCCTCCACAAGCCACTAAAGAAGTATCTCCTAGGCGATAGACTGTTAGAAATCAACCCATGTTATGAGCCAACCACAGAGTTGCGTGAAACCCTAAACAAGAGTCTGTAAAGGAATTAGTATGCGCACAAATTCGAGGTCCAAACACAATATTCCTTTCATCCTCCCCGAAAGAGGAAGAAGAAGGGGCGATTTCTGAAACCAGGTTATATTTAAGCTGACGTTTCAAAAGCTTTCTCGCTTCCATCGTCAGAACGTGGAAACCGTTCTCCTACTGGTGTCAGTAAGTGTCCGAATGTGAGCCTGACGCCTGACGCCCGTTTGTCAATCGATTGTATCGATCGATTTGTTTTTTGGCTGTTTTAATTGCTTGCGCCCTCGCGGGCGTTTTCATGAGGTGCGTTAAGTCGTTTGTGCGCATCCTGAGTGCTGACAGAAAAATCAACTGTGGTCTACAGCATACCATGCCGAGACTACAATGCAAGGTATGTTGGTGAAACGGGCAGACGCCTTGGTACAAGATTGCATGAGCATCAGCTCGCAATCAACCGCAAGGATAAGCTGTCCATGGTTTATGACCACGTACAACAGGAGAACCAAACGCTTGCCTTTTAGAAAGCAGGGGTAATAGGCCGAACCAACGATTAGATGGCTAGATTGCCGCTAGAAAGTTGGTCCTCGACTGGCACACTAAACACAGCCATAGATCTTCATCCCGCCTACCAAGCGCCCCGCAGAAGGCTAGCATCTGTTAAGAACAAAGCAATAGGTCGGGCGGAGGAAGATACGGAGGGCCAACAGTCGGCAGCCGCGAGAGAAGACGGTGGAAACGCTCAGGATGCACACAAACGACTTAACGCACCTCATCGAAGCGCCCGCAAGGGGTCAAGCAATTCAAACAGTCAAAAACAAATCGATCGATACAATCGATTGACACACGGACATCAGGAGTCAAGTCCACGTTTGGACACATTCACTGACACCAGCAGGAGAACGGTTAGCACGCTCTGACGATGGAAGCGAGAAAGCTTTTGAAACGTCAGCTTAAATTCAACCTGGTCTCAGAAATCGCCCCTCAAGCTTCTTCCGCTTTCAGGGATGATGAAAGGAATATAAAGCAATTAATTATGTGCAGTTCATTATCGCTCCTTTGTCAGCATGACTATAGTGGACGTTGAGGGTTCAAATGCACCTTTTGCGAACAGGTAGAAAAACGATCAACTATTCTTTATATAAAACGAGGAATTTGAGACGAGGAAAACATACCCCAAGGAGCGTTGTAGAATCGACAAGATTGGTTTCGTGATCTTTTATTGATTCGAAGAAGGAGTTCGCAATTTCACCGCGTTGAAGGTTGGAAAAAACGTCCAAACGCGAACTGCAAATATCAGCAAAGTTCTTTGAGAGCTATGCAAATTACAAAGTTCTTTATTAAGGCATTGACAAGCGTGCCTTTATTAGTCGGCATTATTCAGTGTAAGTAAAACAAGACGGAAAAAAAACCTGCAGTAACTTGTTTTGCCCTTAACAATGACACATTCGATTGAAGAAGGTAATGCGTGAACACACAACAAACAAGTTTCACAACATCTTTCTATGGGTCACGGCCAACCTAGAACTGTCCACATATGCATTGGAATGTGGCAGTGAAGTTGTTTATTTAATACTAGATCACTCGATCAGTGTAACGTTTTCATAAAAATAGTAGCTACCTCCGATTTCTCCCACATAGAATAAAGCATGTATATTTGTTTTAAATTGACTTGCAAAGGAAGATTGTTTCTTTATCGAATCTCTCCTGTTTTTATGTTCAGTTTTGAGTAAATTTTGTCAGATGGTTATCCAATTTAAAAAAGGCCGGCGTATGTTGTGGAAACGAAAAAAAATGAAACGGATTTCACGGGCTGCCATGCGAAACCAAGCTCACAACCTGCGTCATAAGATTGCTTTTTTCATTGCCCCGTTAGGGAGTCAATTTGAGGCAAACAAACGATTAAGTCACCATCGGGCAAATACACTGATATAAGGGAGAGCAGAGTTAGCAAAAGTTTAATTAACCAATAAGTAGTAGTTAGGGAGAGGGGAGAGGTGTTAAGGGATCAAAGAGGTCAGGTTCTAGTCATAATTAGGCACCAAAGAGTGGAAAAGAAGGGGAAGGGGTACGCCAATTACTTCATGTCGCCGGGTCGTCCATGTCTTGCGTCTTCTCGGGAGGTGTGAGGACGCAAGATGTCATCTTCTTGGGACGGTGTGGGTGGCCTGGGGATTGTAGAACAATGTAGATATAGTGCCTTGGCAATTTTATTCTCTACCCTATATGAATGTAATATCTGAAACCATCTCTCGGCAACTAAGTCGTTTTGGCATCTCCGTCGCC